CTGAGACAGGTGTGTCCCATCTTTTGCCAGTCCATATCCCTGAAGATTAAGGGCCAGTATTACTAAAATACCACTTTCATATACTAAACCAAAAAGTGCTGCTAAATAAAACAATTTTTCCATGTTTACTACTACTTCTATCTGTAACTGACTAGAAATTTGATAGTAAAAGGACAAACAGATAAAAGAAAATACAAAACTATTAATCTAACTTTTAACAGTTTTGTTGGATACACAAGCACGATCCTGTTTTAACTTACTCATCTGGATTCTTGCCTGTATTGGCATATGGGTTCTCCCTCATTGCTCTTGTTTTGGGATCATAATAAGCAGAGTTTGGATCTAGATTCCTCAAGTACTAGGGAGAGAAAAAAAACCATACAAGATATTAGATATTTATGATTTTAAAATAACTGAAGTTACTCCTGTATCCCACAGCTTAGACATTTTAAAAAGTTCTATCTGTGTAAAAGGATGACCTTGTCAAAATCGTAACATGAAAACAGACCCTAACCTCCAAATCCCAACACCCATATGCAAACTCATTAATAACTGTGTAAAATTTTTAAAAATTAACTCTCATTAATACAAAAGAACATCTGTAAAGAATTCTTTACTCACTTTTGCAATATCTTCCCGAATACGTAAATTTCGAACTGTGATACGTCTTTTAGAGTCAAAATTCTGCCCAGGCATATCAATGTCATCTGCATATTTATCTTCATCTTCATCTTCACTGTTATGATCTCTTTCCTGAGAAGAGATGGGAAACATGTAAATAAAAGAGGACATGCATTCTAGAGACAAGTATGAAAATCCGACTTTAGTGGTTTCATTAAAAATTCTGCAATCCCTGTCGTTAAAAGCTAGCACCATTTACCTGGGCTTAAGTGTGCTGTCATGCTTCTCTAACATTCAACAGTTTCAGAAATATGCTTGTGAAAGCATTTCCGCTTCCTCATATGCAAACAGTTACAAAAACATAACTGATAATATTAAGAAAACAGTTATCTTGGGCAAAATATACCACATATTAAAAACTAGTTATTTGCTTGCATCGCTAAGGTTTGACAACACACAGGAATTAAAACAAAATCCCCTCTGTGAAATGCAACAACCTCTGCCTGGAAGCACAGGTAGCCAGTGGCATGAACCCACCATTCAAACCCCTATGCCACCCTTGTTTCACTGTTCCACTAACTACAAGGTGTTTTTTCTGCCCATGGTGTGATGCAATGGGTAATCATCTTACTGTCTGTGAATTTGGTTCCTCTTCCCCCCACTGGTGTCTTGGGGAGTTCTGCAGCAAACAAAGAGCACATCAGCACAGAAGACATAAGATAGTGGAGAGAGGAAAGATAGCAGGGATATAAAGAGCAATCAAAGCAAAGCTTGATGCTAGATGCAAAATACAATTTACCTGTGACACAAAATGCACAAAGACTGATACATAATGTCCTAGGAAAGAGTTTGTAAGTGTCTCTAGTACAGACATGCTGGAGACCTTTTAACTGTATTCCCAACTAAACTTGCAAGAACAGCAAATTCTAGAACTGTCACTATTATTTAGAGCTTGCTATGCCTTTGAACACTAATGGTTTAGATTAGAATATTTCATAACCTGCAAATATAACTAAGATTCAACTCTGAAACATTAAAAAAATAAATTAAGAAGACAGGTATGCGAGTATTTAGTTAGGATTGACAGGAATACTGAACGTGAATCAGAAGCCATAATTTAATCTGGAGAAACATAGCCAGAATTTTTTTTTTCACCTGCTTAGCCTCTAACTTGAGAATACTTGCAGCAGTAAAGATGGAAACAACTCTAAGGTCTGGAACACTGACCAGCAAATTGGCCAGCACTGACTATGCAAATAGTCCTCTCCATCAGAGACCGTTCTTGCGTTTCAAACATACTTTTCTTCTTACAGCTCCATTTTATAAGGAATAAGTATATGGAAGCCAGCAATGTTTGTCTTGTGGGGAAAACAGGCATCAAAAGGAGAATGTTTTCTATTGGGAAGGTCAGAACGCTGCAGCTTGTGCTGGGTTGGAGATTAAGTTCACTCTGCCATCTAGTGACAAAATACAAAGTGACAGCCTCTGGAAAATGGAGGCCCAATTATTATATAGCCTTTTGCTTGGTGTTTTCTGACCACGTTGATTAAAAAAAAAACCTACTCCTGACCAGTAGCAGTTGCTACTTTTTCCTCATTTCATAAACTTAGAATATCATCAGAAATGCCCCTGAAAATCAGAATTTTATACCAAGGATTATGAAAGCATTGTCTATAATATCTAAGAAGTGCTTGTAGAAGTTAGTGGAAGATGCAAACTCTGCAGAGTTGTAAGACAGAGGGAAATACATATGCTCAGCCTTCAAATAACCAGAAACACTGCAAATAGTCATAGCAATGACTGAAGAAGAAACAAGTTTGGTTCTAAGATAAAGAAAATACCTTCCTATTCCAATTTATACTAAGCATTACTAAACCATCCCACAGTCATGTTAACAGTCACTACCTCAACATCAGTCACATGTAATACAAATACAAAATACAAAAACCCATTTCAGTTCCTAAACAAAACTACTACATGGAAAACAGTTTTTCTGACCGAAAAATGTATGTCATTAATTTTACAAGGATAATAATAACACAGATTTTCTGCTCACAAGGGGAAAACAAAGCCACTTTCATTTGAAAGGAGATGCTTCAAATTCTTGAATGTGACACAGAATGTGCTGGTGCTAGGAAAATCTTTACATTAATGAAGAACATAAAAAACAACAGCAGACCTTGTACAGAGAATAAATGCATCAGAGAGCAGAAGTAACCTGCTGCATTTTTATGCAGCCTAAACAAAAATAAATTAGGGTTTAGTTTACTTACCACTTGCTCCAGCTTTCCTGATGCTAACTCTTCCTGAAGCTTCTGGGCTTTCAGCGTACGTTTGGCCTGTGTATCATGAAAATGCATTTGTTTTAATATTTCTTTTTAATAGCAAGTGTGTATTAATACTTATCATAAGCATCTCTTCTGACTGCTGCTTGCTCCCAGCCAAGCCAAACACTAAACCTTTCCCCAGTAAACCATAGTACCTACATACCAAATCAACCTTGGAATATTCCTCTACAATCTTCATGTGCTCTTCTGGGTTATAACCATTCCAACGATCTCGCTTTCCATCATAATCAAACATCAGCTGAGGCTGCACATGTTCATCTGGTGCAATATTCATGCCTGTGTATTTTGCTCCAACTTTCCTTGGTCTCTGAAAGGAAAAAAAAAAAATTTGGATCAGTCCATTAGCTAAAATACGTTATTCACTCAGATGTCCTTTTAAAAACAGAACCACCTGAGCTCCTCTACAGCCAGTTAAATTCAGCACTATAAGCCTGTGAATTGTAAATAAATGCAAATAGTACATTTCAGTATTTTAAAGTAGCACAACTGACTCCACACCCCATCAATTTCTAACTCTATTTTCCACAATTAGGAAAGCAATTAAAAGTTTCTGGGGATGCCTTCTAGCTGACGTGAAAGAGAAAGACAGGCACAGCAGCACTTGAGTCAAAGCAAATTAACATGAAGAGCTAAACATTTTCACCTGTGACTGCAGCGCTTATCACAAGCGGAACTGACGAGCAAAACCCTGAATAGCGTCTTTTTTCCATTAATTTTTACTACGTAACAATTTCTTTAGAAATTTTCAAGCCACTTTTCAATACTTGTAAACTTTTTCAAAACAGATTTTTCAAAACTAGTAACTTTTATCTATAGCTAGCTATTTTTTCCACTACAATCAGAATTCATACTGTTTTCAAAACCATTAAAACATCAGCAAAAGTCAAGTTTACCTCCATGCAGTCTTTCTTTTTGTGTGTCAATGCACCGCAGTTCTCGCAAGCTCCTTTACGATATCTAGTTGCTACCACATGCTAAACAACAAAAAAAGACAGCGTTGTACACACTTGTGGCAACGTTCACATATGTGGTCCAAATAAGTAATTAATTTTTTCAAAACAACTAAACTGCATGTGGTTTACCCAAACCCAGCAGACGTATTTGGATCATTACCAAACACTGTGACTTGCATGCTCAGTAAGAATTCCCAGCTCCTGTCTGCCTCAAAAACATGTAACCAAAAATTATTTCCTCACAGAATCAAACCAGAGCTTTATTTTATGACAAAAACATTTCACATACCTCTTGAACTCCTCGTTTGTACCAATCTCCAGAGGAGCTATACTGTTTCTGCTTCTCTGGCTGAGGTCTCTGATGCTTTAGCGTAGGTCTTTTAGAAGGATCTATGTACCATGGTACTGAGGATATGTACTGAGGAATATGAGGATTGATATCTCTGTAAAAGATGTTGTGTAATAAATACATAGCATAGGGGGAAAAACCCACACCAACTTATCCTAACAAATAACTGTCACATTAAAATTCAATGCTTTAGGAGTGATAAAAAGATAATGAAGTTGTTTAATTTGTAACATTGTTGTTTAACATTGCAAAACAAGCTCTAATTTAACTAGATGAACACAAACTTTCATTGAGATTTTGCTGCCACCTAATTCACCTAAAATCATTACTCCAAATCAAATACCTTATTCTATGCAACGTTACTGAGCACAAAAATAGCCACATTTCTCTTCTTAGAAACAACGAGCCTTGTAGGAGCAAGAGAGGGAACAGATAAGGTACGCAGTGAAGTTCCCCAGTACTACGTTTTGGTTGCTTTTAAAATACCACTCGTAAGTAGCCGCATAGATGGGACTTTCTGGCAGCACTGTCAGTAGATGACAGTACATAAACACTGAACCAACGTTTTTTTGGTAAATATCTGTTTTCAGAGGATGACTAGAATGGTAAAAGCAAATTCACAAAGTGCAACTATTTATTTCTACAATGACTCATGCAGAAATTATGTCTCACCCTCATGATTATTCTGTAAGCAAAACAGGAAAAAGATATTTTTAACCCATAGCTTTAGAATAACCCTAGCTTTAATAAAACTTACTTTCCTTCTTCATCCACTTCAGCAGGTGCATTTCCTAGTTTTCTTTGTTCTTCTAATTCCTTCTTTTTCCTCCAGTCTTCCCTTGTCATCTTCTTTGGTTCCTCCAGACTCACATCATTTGATCCTCCTGAAGGAGTGCTGTTCATTACCGTCCCCGATGCCATTTTGGGTTTTTTTCCACTGTAACAGCACAAAAAAAAAGAAAAAAGCCTTACAGATAATGCTATGTGACAGCACAATTCTTCAGAGTGCTTTTAGGTCATTCAGTTAAACCAGGAACGCTGCATTATGCATTCTTGATACATGTCTTTTCACAAAGATAAGCACCAGTGCTGAAAAATAAAATTATCTCATTAATGTTGCTCTTCTCTGACCAACACGACCCAGGAAGGGGACGCGCAGCAGCAGCTCTGCACACAGCGGCACGACACGCACTGTCGGGCCTCCCGGGCCCGCGCGGAGGGGACAGGACTCCCCCGCTGCTGCACGGCCGGGGCGGGCA